GTTTAGAGTGTATTTAGGGTCAAAGTGACCCGATTTAAAAGTGAAAGAACTTTAGTTTCTCACGTACCAAAACGGGGAAAATTAGTTCTGATATCCAGTATGCACCACATTAATTAAAATACAAAAAAAATGATACATTCGATGAAAAATGCGCTAATGAATCCTCACGATTGGGAAAGTACAATTCTAGGTATTCTTTGATAAAATAAGTAGGATGTGCGTCGTGTGAATCACAATAGAATGTGCAACCATAAGATTCCCTAAATAGGTTAAAATGCCTGTTGAAATACAACCTAATGAACGAATTCCTACATCAAAAAGGAAGATATATGCAAAAGACCAATTTGAGCATCAGTTTTAAATTATATTAAATTCATTAAATAATAAGAATTAATCTGGATTTGTTTCAAAAATTAATAATTTGTTCTATTTTTTAATATATATCTGCAGTAGTTACGGGTTAATCTGTTTGTCAGTTGTTTACCAGCCTTTTAAAGTAGACGTGTCTGTTCAAGTTTCCAAGATGGAAAAATAAGTTTTTGAATGTTTATCGCCAACAAAAATTGATACCAAGATGGTAAATGTATTAAAGCAATCTGCTCATTCATTTACAATGGTTATAAGATGGTTGAAGTACACCAAAGAAAGCAAAGACTGTTCCATCATCAGGAAAGGTTATGGCAGAAAATATTAGCTCGCAAGAGTGAATGGTAAAAATCAACGAATTGAAGTATGAATTATTTGAATATCCATCATATTCACCAGATTTAGATACATCAGACTACCATCTACCCAAACCTAAAAAACATTCTTTTTTGAAAGCGTTTATCGTCCAATCAAGAAGCAATTGATGCTGCAGATAAATATGGTATAGAATTGTTTAACTCTTCGAGGAGCGGTGGTATACGCATTGTATCACCTTTTAAACATGCCTATTGGGGCATTATTATAATTTTCTAGAACATATGAAGGGAAGAGGAATTAATTTGGTTGGTATGTTATTTATAGTCCATACTATCCGATGTTGATTCAGTTATCTGATTCAATTGCCTAGAAATTTGTTGGGTCTAGAAATTTCGGAATTTCTGGCCTTTAAAAGGGTTAAATTATCATTTTTCAATAAAAATATTTTTAATATTTACAAACTTTTAATTAACAAACAGTTCAAATACTTGTTGTTGAGTTGCACAGAGACATTGTTTTAATGATCAATTAACGACGTGTATTGTTTGTTAAATTCCCGAGAAAGGGAAATGCGGTTCGGAGAAAATCCAATTAGATATGTCATATGTATTATACATGACGAGGATCTCCGTATTCAGAATAAAGTTGAAGCTTTGTTGAAAAAAACTGTCACTGATGAAGTTTAATTTAATTCATTTGCAATTCCAGTATGATTTTCATGGTTCAATGAATTTAATTTAATTTTATGTTAATAATTTACAAAAGTATAATTCATTTAAATTTAAATTATTGTAGTATTTCAATATTTTATTTATTGTTTTACATCACTGATTATTTCAAAACTATAAAAAATACCTCGATATACGTAATTTGTGTTAAAATTTAAAAAAAAAATTACATAAGAGAAATAATATTGAAAATTATTAAATGTTAAGATAATTAAAATCCATTGTAATATTTTGAAAAGTATAATTATAATGAATAAAAGTAGATTTGTTGTAGAGAAAAAAATATATTTTCCTATGTTTTATTTTTAATATCAAATAAGCTAAGACATTTAACTTAATTTTGTCTTAAGTAATATACATGATGATTATTATTTATTTGAGGAACTATCTAAATAAAACTTAGAGAAATTGTACTTTGAAAATAAATGAATAGGTTTCATCATGAAATAGATTTTTTTTTAAAACTATGAAATAAATACATTTTATAGTAAATATTTAATGTTACTAAAAATTATTTTTTTTTACAATTTAATAAATTTATAATCTTTAGTTATTAAATCAAATATGTGTATCATTGACTAGTTTAATATTAAGACAAAGGGAGTTGAAGATTATTGTAAATTACTTTTTTGGTAAATTATATTTATAATATTTTGTATGTTATAATTCATATTTAATATTTAATTATTTTACATTTAAAGTGTAATTGTACCATTATAAAGGTTTATTTTTACTATAGGTATGTACACGCATGTATATCAGTAGTACCAACTGTTACATATTCCCGGGACACGGGAATTCGCGGAACTCGAGAAATTAAAAAAAAGTCACTTTGCTGAATGTTTAAGCAAATGAAATCATGGCTAATATTGAACAACTAGAAAAAAAATAACTTCTCCAAATTTATTAGTTTCTAGATTAGGAAGATATTTCAATAAATTCATAATTCGTTTATCTCTCCGTTATCCAAGTCTATCTAATAGTTATTATACTTATCTCTTCTTAGATCATTATCTATTTTATTAATTTTTGTCATGAGAAAATTTATAATTATGTCAGCTGTCAAAGAAGTTGCATCTTTACGAATTAGAGCTTTCACTATACATTCAAATGACAGATAACTTCTAATGTGCCAGATGACCCATAATTAAGATAGTTTAATGCTTTCTTAACACATTTTTGTAATCATTAATAATATCTCTACATATTTAAGATATGTGACATTATATTTTTCCCGGTGTTTTCACGATGTTTTCAGATGATGATGATAGCAGTTGGTACACCCGATAAACATTTATATGTAATGTAAAAGTAGTCTGCGAGCAGCTGTATTGGAATAAATTGTTAAAATTTAACAATTTGACTACTTAATCTGCAAAATTATTATTTAACCAAAGTTGTGTTGAGTTTGATGTTGTTTTTCTCAATTAATTCTAACGTTTGTTTATACAATCTAAATGAATGCATAGACAATACAACTATTATATTTAACGCAGTGTTATGTAAACAATTGCGAAACTGTTTCGAGCAGCAATTGATTGATTATGCATGTAACTCGAGTTAGTTTGATATTCAAGTAAATGACTATCCAATACCACTCTCATTAATATTATGTAATATACAGACACGTATCTAAAACTTTCTATTGTGTGGAAGAGGGATCACATCGAAATTAGTTTTAACCTTAGTTGCGAGAGAGTGAGAGAGATTTTACCCTAAAGTAAGTTTGCCTCCTTCAGTTACCCTGTAAACAGATTTTGCCTCCGCCCTATCACCACGATCCTCGCCACCCGACAATTCCTCCCTGCATCAAAATTCGGCGTCTTTAAAATTACTTATATCTTATTTATGATAAACACTACACGATTTTCATTAGGCCTTAGTATAATACAATTCATTGATTTTTCCCAACTAAATGAAAATAATGCTTTTCGTGTACAACTTTGATACTATATGTTATTATCTACAAGCCAAAGAGAAAAACGTATAAACACATGAGAATTACATTTTTATTTACAAACTAATTATTACAGTGCTTTGTAATTTGAAGAAGTCATATTAGTTTATATAAGAAATATGTAATAAGAAAAAGTAACTAGTTACATGATGATTATTGTACAAATTAGATTTTTTTTTTCTCGTTATATTGAGTTTTCGTATACACGTAGCTTGCTAATACGGCATATTCTGTTATAAGCGGTCTAAAGCTGCTAATCATGCCCTTTCGACAGAGAAACGGGCGTTTATGAAATTTATTTTTCAAGAACACTGATTAGTTAATAACATTTCGGATATACGCAATAATAAGACATTTACCAAATAAATAGCACCGTATTAGTAAAGCGCAGTATAATCAATACAAGTTCAAGTAAATTGCGACAGTCTTCATATTTCTTGTGAAATATAAGTACAGTGGAACCTCTCTTAACGAGTTTAATCCGTTCCTAAATTTCTGGATTTTTATTTGTAGAGTGAAACATATTAAAAAATACATATAATATGTGTACACAAGTTTTAAAAATGATGTAGAAGGTGCGCAATCTGGGACTTCTCTTCTCATCGTCACTCGTTATGCGAAACGTAACTCGTTATGCGAGATGATCGTTAAGCGAGGTTCACTGTACTTAAAAACTAAGGCCATTGCCGCAGCTGTACCTCGTATAGTCTGGGTAATCTATTCCTCTGATATCCCAAACTGTTTGAAACCAGACAAAACGAAATACATACAAAAAATAAAAAGGCGACTGAGATGAATAACATAATCATTTATGTATAAAATAATTTGTTATCATGAATTAAAATATAGTTTGTTTAGAAATTTCCTAACCGGACTATAGTAGATCCGGGCTGGTTATAGCCGCACTATGTGAGGTATTTCTGTATAGTATTAATGATCAAGTATTTGTTTGACTGTTTCAAATATATTCATTTACTTGACAACTGTTTTAGATTTATGAAACCATAATGGCAATAACGTTTAATCACTTTTTGATGAAAATATCTTGTTGAATAAATTTAAACACATTATTTAAACGTTTTTCTTTTCGACTTTCCATTTAATGTAATAATTTGTAAGAACATATTAAATAAAAATCTCTATTCCCAGATGAATGCACACAAAATCATAATAACTTTAAACAATATATCTCACTTTAAATATCCCAATTATTATTAACAATTTTTTATTAGCACAAGTGGACCAAAGTGATAATATAATTAATTTAGTTTGAAAGTTTTATTAATACTATAAAATGTATATAAGAACGTTATTACTAGATTCCACTTTATGAAATATTTACATATTATGAGGCTTGTTTTGTCGAATCCAAGAAATTATTTTTTACAATCTTCTATGTTATAACTGAATTTGTTAGGTTCAATTCTACAGTGAATATTTTGTAAAGTTATATTTTACGAAGTATTTTTATGATATATTAATTATTTACCTAATATTTTTTTTAGTTTCTTATCCCGATTTACAAAATCCGATATATAAAACTGAATTTCACAATATCTGGTTCTAAAATTATTTTTTTTTTAAATAAACTTTCATCTATTACATTAATTAGTTAATTTAACTAGGTGAAACGAAATGATCGTGTTGAAATATGTTTTATCCATACTGTTCCAATCCATGATACAAATGTACATTTTTTTTAGTATCTTTTAACCACCAACTTGCATAGTTATGAATGGGAGTTAGAGAAAGTACAATTGTAAATATTTAAGTAATGTTCGCGCATCTTTCGTAAATATGAGAGCAGTTCACCATATACGTAATAGAAAAAATATGATAAAAATAGAAAGACTATTGCACTTATTATTTTTACTAGGATTGTTACTATTTACAAGGAAAATATGTAGCTTATGTACAGTATTATTTGTTGTATATTTGTATCATGTTTCCAATATACTCTTTTAGATAGAAGTGCAACTATCTCGACAGAGCCGATAGCGTATTAAGCTGTTATGTATACCAAATATAATAAGTTTATGTCACTATGTAGATACTGTAGGAATTAATTTTCGGATATCTTCGCTGTCATTTATGTCTCATATCAGGCTTAGTGTGGATGCAGTATAACAAATGATTCATGATGGGATTAGAGATATTTATGATGTTTGATTTTATCTTCTAAGTAATTGCATTTGATGCAACATATTATGCGCTAAGTCTAGGTAATCTCTTGATATAAATAATTGAAGCACTAAAATCGCGATCAAATGCAATACATCTGGCCTATCAAGAATTATTGGATGCATGGTTCGACTAGAAATAAAAGTGTGGGTTAGTTTAGAAAAAAACCTTTTGGTCCGTGGAATAGTATCGAGAAAGTATTGGTAATAGTTCAGAATCCGGTAGAATTGGTCGAGGAAGATCCGTTCTGCTCCGTCCAGTCGGCGTTTGGAACAGAGGTTTGCGTGTTGAAAGTGGTAGTTGCGGCAACTGTGGTAGTGGTAACCCCGTCCTTGCCCCTCGTCGCAGGATAGTAGACGCATGGTCCAGGACTCGGCGCCCGTATCCTGTTGCTCCTCTTGTCCCTCACGCTTGTCCCATTCGTTCTGATATTAAAGCCGTTCCGACTGGCGGCGGTGTTCTGCCTGTGCAGACGAATGCTCGTCCTGTCGCCGTTCGACATGAAGCTTTCATCGTGAGTGGCGCCGTCCGGCGAGTCACGACCTCCGACCCCGAAGAAACCGTGACTGCAGAAGAGCATCAGAAAGAGACGCTTGAACTTCTCGCCGAAGATCACGTAGATTATGAAGTTGACGCTAGAGTTGATCGTGACGAGAAGGTTGCTAGTCTTGATCATGCGGTCCAGCATATCGGCACCCACGAACTCTAAACTGAACGACTCTATAATGTTTATCACGAGGGGCAATATGTTGCATAGGAAGAACACCATTACCACGCACATCAGCATCACCGCTAACCCAATTTCACGCCGCTGAAGACGCGACAAACGCTGCCTCTCCCTATCCGCCTTTCGTATCTGCAATCAGAAAGCCCACGCACGTCGCTTTTATAGACTTCAGCTTAATTCACTCTCTCGAAATTGATGCCTTCCAGATTCCACTTCGCAAAGTTCAGGCCCGTTTCGTTGAGCAATCAAATGCTGCAATTCGTGCAACCCTAAATGCCAAAGACATTTTCGTATCGATTTAGCCCGGAAGGCACCAACTTGAAACACAAACAGGAAACAATTGAATCCAGTTATAATAAAAAAATATAACCCAGTTTAGTTTCAACTTTAATAATACACTGTAGATACACTACTACATAGTTGATGCTTCACATTTTTAAACTCTATTAAAAAACCATTAACCATTGTTGACATATATTAATAACCGCAGTAAGAGGATAAATCCTTTCATAATGTAAGTCATTTTTTTAAATGCTGAAAAATAAAATTTATGGCTGGGATCAAAAGCACAGTGTAGACATGTCAAAAATGATTTATAGTCAGAGCCACAAGATACTGAAATTTTATTTTTACAAAAAACACCATAAATAAAAAATATATCACTCGAAGTATTATACTAAATGCAGATCAAATATAATAATTATTAAAAAATATTGTTAATTATTTTAATAGTGACAGTTGTTACATAATATTGACATTCCAAAAGTTGATTCCAAAATATTAGATTATAAAAAACAGTGAAAAAGTAAAAATCTATACCATTTATTATTTATGTGAATCAAGCAATTATAATGGAAAGTAATATTTTGAATTTGATTTTACTTAAAAACTTTGAACCTCATATATATAACAATTGCAGATCTACAGTGTATTATTCAATATAATGAAATATTGGTTATGTAATTTATATGTAGTTATATTATTTGTTACTCACTTGTCTGTAGATTGCTACATTCAGAACAGCTAAACTGACGAAGGGTATTAAGTAGAGGAAGATTAGGTAGCACCAGTAAACGTAAATAGTGACGTACTTAGGACTTTGTCGAAATTCTGAAGGGTAAGCACAGTATATGCTCATATTTGCAACTGGGTCCCATTCTTCCTGGACACTAGCCTCAAAGAATCTAGGCACACTGTAGAGCACAGAACATATGAAGATCCCAATTACGTAGACCCTGGCCCTGCCGTACGTGCATATGGATCTAGACTTTAAAGGATGGCAAACAGCCACGAATCTATCCAAAGAAACCATAACCGTTAGATAAACAGAAGCAGTCTGCATGATCATAGCCAATGGATATACAATCGGCACAATATGCGGATACACGTTGAAGTAGTACGTTCTCATATAACCAGTATAAGGATATATTCCTGGAATTCCAAAGAGTAGAATGCTGGTAATGATCAGTACGGTGTCCACCCTGGCAAGGCCGGTCAGGATGTAGTTGATGCTAGATCGCATTTGAGGTCTTGATAGGATTATCATTGAGATTATGTTTCCTACGATCCCAAGAACTCCTATGACGTTCAGCAGGATTCCGTTTGTGATGAACCGGTAGAGTTCTGTTTCTGGGGACTCTCGGTCTTGGCAGGAGAAGGTCTGATTCATCGACCACATCGCTTCCGAGGAACCGATGACCATCACCTCAGACTTATTCATCTTTGTAGATTCTCATCCACGGTTTAGCAAAGTTTTTTCCGCGAGTGCTGCCACATCCACATTTCCAACGTCCGCTCCGAAATCCTCAGCATTTTCTACGAAGATCCCAAATATCTTCACTATCTAGAAAAAAAAAATAAGTATAAGCTTTTGCAAATATCAGAATTTCTACATAGATTTTTATGTCGTATATACATAGACAAGTCATTATTTCACATATATGTTTTTTTTTTCAATTTTGTGTTGTTATTTTCATAAAAACAATAAATTGTAGTATTATTATTCTTGTCTACTTTCTGAAACAAGGAATGTTACTATTAATTGTAAGGTACATTTTAACATCTTGTATTGTATAGTCTTTATTTCCTGTTAATTTAGAGAAAGCCTCTTATAAGAAAGCTATCGAGAAAAGTTTTAGTAAGTACAAATTTCGAAGAACCAGCAACTTTAGAAGAAGAATAATTACCTGATGGTAAATTTTGAGAATGGAAATACTTACAAGAACTAATGATTGATTAATTCCAATTAATTTATATAACATATTAATTAAAATATCTAAGACAATAAGACAAGGCTTACAAACATCGTTCTTGTACAAAGTTTTTATACACAAACTTTGGCAAAGTATAAACAAGTATAGAAAAACCATGCAATAAAAATGATAAGATTGTGATGAACACGGAGAACGTGAAAATAAATTCCACGAGAGAGATGTTATTTGTCTACATTATTATTTTAGTTAATATCTTGTTCCATTCTATTTACTTTTAGTAATAAATAATAAATGTTAATGTATTTGGTCGGCCTTAAATAACAAAATCTGTTATATAAACAACAAAATATAAGATTTCCAAGTAATTGAAATCAAGAAGTATAAATATTTTTGCTCCTAAATACTGTTATTCTATGTCCTCTTTTCTCTCCTTTTTCTTTTCCAGAAATAAGAGGAATAAACTCATAAATTTTAATAGGGTTTGAAAGTATTTTGGCCCGTAATCCTTCCAAGCAACGCTGTTCATTTTAATCAGTAAAAACGTATAAGGACAACTCTGAGACCCCCTCGCAGGACATTTTTTTCACGCACAGTTCCGCCTATTCCTTCCTCGGATGCCTTTTCACTTCCACATCAATTATTTACACGAATTCCGACCATGGCCTATACGAAAATCCTTTCAATCCCATTCTATTACAACTCCTACATATTTCTTTGTTGTTCTTGTTGCTGTTGTCCGACTCTTCCTCTTTCATTTTCTCTCCAATTTTCTTTTAATACACTGGGAATTTATTCGGGCTATATCAGGCTAATAATTCAATTTGACGGTGGCAGATTTATTCCAATATGCTTTCCGGTCTGTCCCTTAGAAACTTGGCGAGTTTGATTAAAGGTTTTCCGGGTCGTAGGCGCGTTTGCGGAATCAAACTTTAAACTATACTAATCTTATATGAAGGGAAACTTGTTCCGGCCACCTCGCTTCCTGCCTTAATGTTTATTTAATAAAACGGCTTCGAACTAATACTCGAGTACATCGACAGTTCGTTGAACATAAGAGATTAAATTAGATCTCACCTTAAGAGAGACACTGTTTGAATAAGGAAATATGTTTCAGTAATTAAATATTACTTTTATAAAGTATAAATTGTTTTTTTACAGGTTTACAGAATTGATCGAAATTTTTCTACAAAAATTTACAAAGTTAATCTGCTCACCCCAAGTAATTCACTATTACCTCATTTTGGGTAATTTACCGCGATTCACCGACAACTGATGTAGATAAAATTACTGATTTTATAATGATACTTTTACAATAAAGAAAAATATACGGAATGACGTATTTTTAAAGTTTTGACGGATATAAAATTATATAGGCATCTTCTTTGATAAGCTTTTTCTATTACAGTTTACATTAACATTTTCTAAATGGAAATGTTTTTTGTCTATTGATAAAAAATATGTTCAAATATGAAAAGACTCCAATATAACGCGGTTAATACGTATGTATGAAATCGTTATAAGAAATCGTTTAATACAAGAATTTTCATCGTTTAACATGGATAATACAAATAACCTATTTGGTATGACTATTGTTATATTCAATTTTATTGTACGAGAATCCCGTTATATAAAAACTACTACAATATAGTATTATATTCAAAAATATAACGTTTTTTATTTAGATTATACAATTTTTAAAATATATAAAATTAACAAAGTTTATCAAGACAAAAAGATTACTGAATTTTCAACATTAAAAAAAAAACCTAAACTAGTCCAAATTTTGCAACTCTTATTAAAGTTGATTAAACAAATTATTACATTATAATTCAATAAAATAATTAAATGAGTACATGAATCTAACAGTTGATTCATATCAATAAAGTAATTAATTTCTGAATGTATTTTTATATAGAAAACATGAAATGATCAAATTTACAATATTGGTGTGGACATCGTTTTAATTTTAGAGCGAAAATCTGTTAAAAAAATTTACGACCTTCCTTTATAACGTTGCATAACGGGATTATTACAAACCTTTTAAAATGTCTGGCTATTCACCCAATTTTTCTCTGTTATGGCCATAAGTGCTTTTAATGGCACTTTTAAAGTCATGTTCGTATTCAGATCAATATTTCTGTAATTATAAAATCGCTTTGAAGTTATCCATAAATATAACAAAGTAAAATCGAACAAATTTTACTTTACTTTTTCTCAATTTGTAAATCAACTGGACAAATACTTTTGAATACGATTTTTAATTGCATAAGATGTTTAATAAAATAGTCTGGCTACGATCAGTCCAGATTCATGATAGTCCGGTTTGAAAATTAAAAAAATTAAATAATTGAGATACATAAAAATAATTTATACAATCAAGTATCTTTTTATGCGTTTTTAAAGTACTTGATTGTTCTGGTTTCAAACAGTCCGATTACCCAGACTATGCGAGGTATTTCTATATTACATTCTATATTATAGAATCTATAAGGAACAATAATATTTGACAACCAAGGTTTCACTAAAATTAATTATTTCAGCGTGGAATCTATCCAACCCGCAGATATTTTCAGTAAAAGCTTGTTTTAGAAAGGAACGTGTATATGTCAAAAGCATGGATTTGATTTCGTTGAAGCATATCTAAATGCGACGTTGTTAAAGAGCAAGTGCATTTCAGAGTTTCGTGGACGTTGGAAGACCGCAGGATGCAGTCCATGTTACGACCGAGTGGATACGATTCAATCGTGAACTCGGAGGGAACCCCTTTTGTGGCTTACTGTAGGTCTTCAGTGCAGTGCAGAATGGCGACTCGGGCCAAAAGTTACATAATATTTTTGGCGCGTGTCATCATCGTGGCTGGGCTTTTTATAGCGATGAGCACTCAACCGTATTTATGGAAATGACTTCTTTAAAAGGACCAAAGAAGTCGCCAGCGCATCCGCGAAATACATTTTTATGTATCCAACAAACCCCCAACAGTACACGCACATAAACCGTGGTGCTTCCGGGGAAGAAGAAAAAAAGGACAGCGAGTGTTTCAATCTTGTTTTTTTATTTCCTGTCTTCCCGTCTTCATTCGACGATATTACTGAAAGCCACCACAAACAAATCTTGCAAGAGAATAACGCGAAGCGCTTTCGAAGACGTCTTATTAAAAGACACAAACGCTATCGTTCGTCTCCATTACGTTTAATATTACAAAGGAAGTAACTTTCAGACGTGGTGAAATGATTTAACAAACTGGGTGGATTAATTAAAAGTGGAGTTTCTGAGGTGCTAGGAATTATAAAAAAAACTACTTTTGTACAATAAAAACCGAATTTAAAATTGAATCATTTTCTAAATAAATGATTTCAATCTGCTGGTGTAGGACGTTGTACAATATAACAGGGTCCCAGAGGAAATAAGATGGAAAACGACATCAACAAATTCAAAATAAAAATGTTATATTGGATACAAAATCACAGATCGAAGACATAGAACAAGAAAAAAGCAACAAGCTTGCTCAAAATACCGGTTCCAAGGAACGTGCCGAACAAACCGAAACTGAGGGGCATACATATAAGAAAACGAATAATAAAAAATGTATAATAAATAATGTAAAAATTGTATATAAAAAAAAAAAAATAATAATACTATACAGAATAACAAAAAATAATAATCTAAAATATATTCAATATTTATGAAATTTGACTAATAAAACGAAATGAAACAAAACAATACAAACATAACAAAAACCTATATATAAAATCAGTAAAAATGTATTTCATAATAATTTATTTTTTTAGAATTTTTTGCAGAAATATTATTACAAAAAAAATGAGAATGTTCTAAAATAAAAATGTATAAATATATATTTTTTATTATCTTATTACATAAATAGAATACTGACTTTTTATTACATTTTTAATTTAATAATAATTATAAGAATCTAAAAGCGGTTTTCTAAAATTTGAAAACCGGTTACCGAATTTTTATAAAATTTAACTGGTTTTAAACCTAGGGCAAATCAATACCATTAAATAAGTTTTGTTACCTTTTTCTTTTTTTTATAGATCTTATCAGTAGGTATTTAGTGCGAACTGCTCGAACTTTAATTATCGCTCCATCCGCACGGATGCCATCCCTCTACCCCAAAATAATGTCCCGAACTTTAATCAATTATTATTATCCCGCATTGTTCGGATGCCGAAACTTTTCGTAATCCTTCTAAGTAATCGACAGTTGAGTTTTGATTAGTTTAATCGATCGAGTATTATGGAAATAGAGCTCATCACGATTTAATCGATAACCATTATTTTTTGTAAAGCGATAATAGACATCAGTCTTATCAGTTTATTATAGAGAAATGTTTATATAAGTAATAGTTAGAAACATATATAGAGATCATTATCACATTAACCACAAAGTGTCTAAGTTGCCAATTTCTTTTTTTGAGTAAGATAAAATGCAAAATCCTAGACAATATTCAAGTTTAGAAAATTTTATTTAACGGTAGAATAACATTAAGATTATTACTAATTTGTTTAGCAAACATAGAATATATTAACAGAACTTTATTGAAATAACATACAAACATTCAACAATTCAATGTTCAATGTTTTAGGTAATATTATTAATTACTTTTAAAAATTGTATGTTTAAAAAGAAATTGAAAAAAAAATTCATTATTTATTTTCATTTAGATTGGATTGGTAAAGTTTGGCGCCGTAAAAAAAGCACGCAGACGAAATCGTGCAGTAACTAAACGCATAGGACAAAAGCGCGCAGTAAAATTACCACGTCAAATGAAAGAAAAAGTGTATGTATTTTTAAAATACAAACCTTATCTAGCTATTTGTTACCAAAGGTACAAGATTGAATATGGAAATACCCATATCATCAAATTGTTTGTACGTTTTTTTAACACGTCTATGCAGCGAATATTAAAATACCAATGAAAATTGTGGAAGTCTGTTTCAAATATTTTTTTAACTATTTGAAAGCGTTGCTGAAAGCCGCAGTTTTCATCACAAGAGCCACACGTGGCTCCGGAACTCTAGACTACCGACTGGATTAGATAGATAAAGCTAGGTTTTAATACAGTACTGATCCTCGATGATTGATGAAGAAGGGAAGAAGTTTTATTACCACATTTCTCTGATACGACTAGGTTAGGTTACCTACAATTATTTGAAAGTTATGGTAGGTTAAAGTAAGTGAAAACACAAATATTACAGGTAGTCCTAGGTTTACGCCGGCTCAGTTTAAGCTGATTCACAATAACGCCGCTGCGTATTTTCACATTGTTTTTAAATTAAAATTTAATTGTTTATTTTTAACACCTAAAATATTGAATACAATCTTGAAATGAAATTAAATCGAAAAAATATTTTGGGGGTTGTATGCGTAATATTATTTGTTTCCCCTCGTTTCGTGTATGAATTGGATTATTTTAACTCGAGATTAATTAAAATGAATAATTCGCATGTATATAAATCGCCGGATTATTTCCGTGCGTTCTCTACGAAAATTAACATTTCTGCTGGAGCGCACGCCACGTCGCCAACATTAGTGACGGATGGAAACAAAGAACGGAAATGAAATAAAACAGAAAGGGAAGAAGTGAAAAAAAATAGAAGTAACGAAGAATGTAAAGAATAAAAAAAGGGAAATGGGAGCGACGAATGCGTGAGGATATAAATTGTAGTCATAAAACTGGATTGTAGAGTTGAAGGCATTATTGTATTTGCGTATGTGCTGAATACAAGTGATGGAAATTATGCAGATTTCCTCCGGGTCTTTTTTTTATTAATTGCTTCAAATCAAAATTGGAATAAAACAAAACTACGTCAGTCTGAGATAAAATGAAATGCGGAGGAATTTCGATCGTCGTTTTGTTGCGTCATTGCATTTTCTGAGCGCACGCACGGATCGCGATTAATGCTCTATTCTTCATTTGAAATTCTATGTGGGCTTGAGTGGGGATAGAATTTATTTTGTATAAGAGATTCGTTAAGGATGGTCGTTAAACTGAGAGCAAGAAAGGGGTGAGCTCAAGTCTAGACGCGTGGGATGTATGCTTGGTGGCAGTAAAAATGACGGTGAGCTTAAACGAAATGCATAAAGCCTTTAGGGATTGAAATTTTAGAGGACACTTATGAAGCAAGTACATTTACGATTCTTAATGAAAATGTACATTTCTGTCTCTATCAGAACGCAACGTTTATGCTACTTTATTGAGATGTAACAAGTTCTCTATAAATATTAACTGTATTTAAGTTTTAAGGTACAGTTTGTAGCGAAACTTGACAAATGCATTTTGTGTTACTTATGTTAGACTTAGGTTTTTATTATTTTATGTTACTTATACTTGTCATAGTAGAGTTAGATCAAGTTATTTCAAACATGAGTTTATGTTAAGTTTATTTAGGCTATACTAGGTATAATTTGGGTAATTTGGAAGAAGATATACTAAGTTATAATATAAACTTAAGTTATAATGCTCTAAGTTTTGCTAGTTTGCATTATGTTAGATTAGGTTAGGTAAGGTTAACAGAAATTAGGTTAAGTCTATATTTTTAGTTAAGTTACATTAGCTAACATTACCTTGTACAAGATTTAAAATTTAATTAGATTACTTTTATCTAAAGAAGGTAAATAGTTATGATAGAATAATATATTAATTAATAATAATTTATTATTATTTTATAATATTAGGATAAATTATATTGGTAATATCTTGTGAGGTAATACAGCAATTATATTATGTTAGATTAAGTTAACTAAGTTTATCTTAGTTTCACAACCTGTTTTAAGTTTATACCTAAGATTGTTTGTGTGTTGGAGTATAGTAAATGTTTGGTTATGCAAAGTTAGGATATGTAATATCTTGAGAAATTAAGAACTTAGGTTAGGTCAAGTCGGCAACCTTTGTGTCGCAATGAGCCGTTTTTAAGATATTGTCTGTTAAAAAAATCGAGAGAGCCGCATTACATTTGCTATTTTTAAATAAAATGTATTTTCCAATATAGCCACCAATATGAAATAGCCGCATTTCTCAATAAAGAGCCGACCTTCTTGTTAGGTTATGTATTAACATTAAATAATTATAATTTTAATTATTTTTTGATATTGTGCTGTCATAATTTGACGTTTATAATTAAAGTCTTTCATCGTTTTGCGCATTTCTATCAACTTACCAAAACTTACAAAATGAATAACACATATTTGTACTTTACAGAACTCCAGGCTGACGCAACGCTCGGGAATGCGAAGGGAGGAAGTTTCCACTAATTATTTGTATAATAACCGAGTAATTATTACGAAAGAAAAATAACGGGAACTCAAGTGATGGAAATGTGTAGGCGGCGATTTGCATAGTCTGTCTGTTTTGTTAATTAAACGTCGACACGGTGAAGAATGTTACAACCTACTGACTACAGTTTCCGTCAGTACGTTACTCCCGACGAAAACCCAATAATATAAGAATATTTACGTGTTTTGAAAGAAAGAAAATGAAGAAAAACAACCGGGATGAGCGGATTTTCGGAAGGTAAGGAAATTGCACTTTGTGAGATGTTTCCGTGTTGGATATTCAATGAGGACAAAAAAACATTGTTGTTTGTTTGTTTTTCATCCTTGATACCCAATCCCAACAAGTCTCGTGTTGTGATTTATGATGACGTTGATATGGAGTGTGCAGTTAAAAGACCATTTTATAAAGCGTGCTCTGAATATGTAACGAGACTATATTTAACCACACGGGCAATAAGCATAACAATGCACGTTTGCATAACAATACTGATTGCAAGATGGATTTGTGGATGTGCTCAAGTGAATCTTGCAACAAGCACAATTCACTTGCACAAAGCCAAAATATTAATAATGACAATTAATCTACTTGATTATCAACATTAATCATGGTTTATTTCAGATTTTTACAATTTTATTTCATTATTATATTGTTGATTAATTATATTTTGATGTTAATCAGTGATATTAGTTTGTGATTTCATATACATTTTTCTTATTTATTTAATATCAAGAAAAATATAAAAGCTGTCATATAAATTTATATCCAAAGAATCCAAGTTGTCCATTCCTCCATTCCTCGAAATCCTATTATCATCATGAACTTATAATCCAACCTTTAGACGACACTTTTCAAAATTTCATGGCAATCTAACGTTTAGTTCACAAGTTACAGTGATTTTAGTGACGGTACTTTTGTAATTTTCAAAAGTAGCGTCAGAAGTGAGTTGTTATTTAAAGTAATACTTTGCCAGCTAGCTTCAAGCGTTTAAACAATCAAGTCTATTTTTACGTGGTTTATATTTAGTTCCTCGATTAGTACGGTTTTAACAATACATACACATATATGAAAAAAATATTAAAGGTTAATATAATATAAATAATAATGTTTATATGTTTCGGTTCTAATAGTTCCATGCATGACGCCTTTTTCATCTCCAATATTGATTTAAATCGACGTGTCTATTTTTAGCAATCACAGATTTTACTTTCAACTGAAAATTCATGTTTACAAATTATATGTTATACTGTATATCATTTAACTTAAAGAAATAAAATAAAATACTTTAACAACAATGAATGTATTTGAAATTGGTTATTTTATAAACATTCAGATCAAGATTATAGGGACGACTAATAGCTGAATGGATAAGTCGCCCTACCCTCGATTTCGTGGGCGTCTTTTCGAATCCTGGTCGAGCCAGGCCCTTTTTGAGCCCTCTTGATGCTTGCAGCAATATTTTATTTAAGTATAATTTTCTAACTTCATATTTGTCAAGATTATTTTTTCGAGATACTGTAATATGTTAGGTTTACTTATTATAAAACAAAGAAATATAACTTCTCACTCAATAAATGATGCAGAATTGAAATTTACAAAAATATCAAGGTCGTTACACCAATATGTACAGGGTCACCCTAACCACAAGGCTAATTTTTTCATTTTTATGTCACAAACTATTATTTAGAAACTAATTAATTTAAGTAAATCTAAAATTGACAATATACTAAAGTATTGGCAATTATATTTTAATTTTGCTTCTATTCTATACAAATGATTAACAGTTATCATAACAATAAATATTACAACCAGTATAAGTTTGAATGTAATTCCGAGCGAGTGCGGTATTTCGAAATAGTAAAGACATCACGACCTAGAGTTGCGATGCTGTAAAGTCTCGAGTAAACTAACCAAGTCGGTTAATCTTCGCTTAAATACGTCGGTAATAACTAACTGTCTTAGTCACACCTTCCTGATTACCGCAAACAGTGATGTACTTAATTACTGAAACTAATATAACTGTACGATTAACTTAAATAAACTACAAATTACATCAAACTCAATGTACACTTTCTAACATGAAAATTTAAACGTTCGTATAATAATATTAATTTAAAATTACGTCACTAATATTAATTATTCTTATGTAATTAAACAAATTGTTAATAATATATTGAAGTTCAGTTCTATAATAACAAAAAAATGACGAATTTTTGAATACAGACAAATTTTTTTGAAATAAACAGACAAATTACTTACAATGTGAAATCATATTTCAGAATATTACATAAAACTTGATTATTTGTGTTCTTTTTCTTTTTCATATATTGCATTTAACACTGATTGTTTTAGACTTCTTTCTAAATGAGAATAATTTTCACTAAACAATATCATTTAATCACATTTTTAAAGTTTGGTTGTTAACATTTCACTTCAGAAACGAAGAATAAAATTGCTTAAAATTAATACTTATTCATTTTCTCCGAAAAAATAATTAAAACGTTTTCAATATAACTTAAGTACTTTTTAAACCTCCCACTGAAAACCACAATTTCTAACATATTTTTTATTTTAATTTTTTAACCCAGTTGATTCAATATCTGCGTAACGTAATTACTAATTAATGTTATTTTTTTCTTGTATAAATTTGGACCATATTTTAACCATTTATTTTCGGATAATTGCAAACTTTGTTATATCAAAGTCTCGTTATCAGAGGTAATGTTAACCAAAGTATAATTATATTCATTACTTATTAATGATAATGTTTAATGAAATTAATTTCGCACATTTAGTATATTTTATTTGTATAAGTTTGAATTATCATATAAATATTTAGTGAAATATTTTATATAGTTTTATATTTTCAATATTATTTAATGTAATAACCTAATACATTTTTTTATTCATAGAAATTGAAAAAAAATCACATCTTTTCAGGAAATCATAAAACTTCCGCAGAGATGAAATTGGCAATAATGAAATTTAAATCCTCAGATTTACTTTCCTTACGGTGGATAAAACTTGGGACTTTCCTTACATTGTTATAAAACATTCTTATATAATATTATTTTTTTGATACGAAAAAAAAAATTGAGTTCACCGAGATACAATTTAATTATGCGAAATAATGTCGACCTGAATAAATCAGAATGTCGATGAGTTATTCATAGACGTTGTTTTCGCATTACATCAACATTAGAAAACGTCCGCATGAATTTTCTTTTTTTTTTGTATTTTCGGTGGATGCAAACTATAACTGGATTGCACATAAATCCGAGTTAGCTTGTGATGCGCTACAAATTTCCACATAAATTTGGATTCGATTAGGGCTCGAAATTTATGATTTCCGATGTTATTATGGTAGTGACCTTTCGTAGTCGCCCTTTTATTGCGCGTACAGCCTTGACTTGTGTGCGTTGCGAAAATCCATTTCGAGAGGAAGAAAAAAATACTACGTTTTTTTATTCTCTTTGTTTTTTTTTTGTTCGTTTCCTTCCTCCCTCAGTTTCACTGCAATAAGCTGTGGCAGTAAATGTAGTAAAAAATATTCTAAGGCATTGGAATTCATATTCGTCCTCGTTTCATTTTTTGTTGGTATCTTCATGTTTATTTCATTTTTAGCGCATGTGGAAGTTAGACATGTAATATTAATTCACATGTTATTTGCACCAAATTTCCTAAAAGGAAAAAATTGAATATAAATAGTATAAAAAGTGAATTTAATACGAAGTGCGTTTTATATACGAATACCCAATAATGATGAGTTTTTTTTTGTAAACTTTTTGATTAATTATTACTACAAAAACATAACCAATTTATAATAAATGCTAAAATTACAAATTGCTAATATGTTTATTTAAAAATACTATGATAATAAATATATTCGGGCAGAATATATCAATTGATTTTTTTTTTAAATTATATATATATATTTAGTTAGTTTTTTTTATTACTGTATGTTATTTTTTTGAACGACTGATAGAATAAACATTATTATTATTCAATATATAATAAATAATTAGAAAAAAGTTGAAAAACCCAACGAGAAATATTTGTTTAATTAGAACGTAATAATTTACTTAAGGAATTTTATTGAAAAAAAGTTTATAAAAGAGATCATATTAGGTCGGGATTTTATTATGTTTTCAGTTTTAAAAAACTTTTCTGTACAAAATTTTACAAACACAAGTAAAGGTTTTTTTTGCGTGGAAACTTTGTAACTTGTTAAAAAGCCAACAGAGAGATTTTTTTTCTTATTATTTAATTTGTGTAATACTTAGCCATATAAAACAAATAATAAAAAAAAAAGACTTTCTTTCTTAGGTAAATGTATATGAAAGTATAATAAAACAATGTTTTAAAATATTTTTTATAATAATTAAGAAATTTTTTCTTCACCAAATATATTGAAAAAAAAAACATCGAAAAGATAATATTATATTTGTCCTCACGAATTGGGTCAGCTTGTGCTGAAATTGAAGAGAATTATTATATTCTTCGCTTTCTTACGTCATGCACGGATGCACTTTCAAGAGCATTTATGTTTTCATACAATTGAGAGAACTTTGCTTAATGGAAGCATAACAATATCTGTAAGCAGAGGCTCTAATTGAAATGGATAGAAAAATAGTCGTTATTATTTAAACTAATTGAAATATAAACTATAAAAATTAAAATATTAATTAAAAATCACGAATCTGACAACACTATTTTGCCTGATAATTAGAGCACAGTTCAAACTCACATAAATTGCAGTACTCTATGTATCAAGTTATCGGCCCTACAACTGAAATCCTGATGTTCGAAATCCCGACGTTCGAAATCCCGAGTGTATCGAAATGCCGACGTTCGAAATCCCGACTATATCTAAATCCTGACTATGTCAAACTCCCGACTACCATAATCCCGACAATCAAAATCCCGAGTATATCGAA